TGAAGTATACTTTGAACTATGATTCTGAATGAATAATGACTGACAATACAAAATGAATGGAGAATTTTCGACAATGGTCCATAGGGAATAATTGAAATATACGTGATGAACATTAATTACCAATGAATGACGAATGACACTTGACGATATGCGATGAACGATAGACAACGAACGATGAGTGACAATAAATGACGTCCATGAATCGATAAACGATTCGCCTTGATTGGCAATAGTCGATAATTGATAATTCATGACCCCGTCCAATGAACAATAATCGACTCTGATAAAATAATTATGATTATTAGCAATAATCGATGAATATTTCACCATGACTTTTCACTCCTTAATCGATCAAATGTCTCGATGGCTGAGCTAATTTAAACGTCTCGATGGCTGAGTATCGAAATTAAGTGCGTTTACCGCCCCTAATAGCTCCTCTCCCCGTTTACACCCTCTAATTATAATACATTTCACCACCTAGGGAGCTTACGACGACAAACGCGTTATTCCAACGCCTCCGATTGTTAATGATTGTTAATCAGCAACACGTCCTCGGCCACGACGTGTAACGTTTTGTCGATGATTTCACAATGCATCCAGCTCGAAAGTTCGTCAAACCTGGTTCGCGCACGAATTCAATTCTCGTCCTTTGAGAAGTTTATCCCCTTTCTCGTTTCCGAAACCGTGGACCTTAACGAGCTTCTCGAACACGATTCGATTCGATTCGACAAAGAAACCACGACCCAGAAAACGAAAACTCGAAATTACAAACGAGCCAATCCCCTTCTCTGTGCGGTAGCACAACGTTACGAACTGGTGACAGAGAGATGGAGTTTCCTGGACCGAATAGGAACGCGAAGCGTGCAGGATTATTGGGTGAAGAGGACGACGGACCTCAGTGGATATGCAAAAGGAAGAAAAAGAAAACCTTTTTTGTCGGGAGGGAATAATTTCATTCCGTTACGACTCGGCGGAATGTCGTTGACGAGGGAAAATGTTTATGGGACATTCCATGGAAAATCGATCAATTTTCAACGAGATTCATTTTGATTCGAATGAAATTTTTATGTGTCACAATAGAATATGAAATACCTTTCCGTGATTTTTTTCACATTTTTCTACCGAGGCACAACAAATTTATGAATTTTGTAACGAAAAATAGCGTTGAGAAAGAAATTTGAAAGAGAAAAACGTCGCCTTTGTTTAAACATTCGTAACTTCTTTTCGCCTGGGTAAAAAAAATTGAAAAAAATCATAGAAAGCTATTTTGTTGTGTACAATAAACATATAAAAATTTCAGTGAAATAAGAGGAGTCGTTATTTCCCTCGGAAACAATTAAAGATATCCTCTCGTAAATCCTGATTAATCGTACCCATTACTCCTTTCATGGATTGACCGACTTTGCCTTCCTTAGACGAGTCTTCTCAGGTCGACGCCATCCCATGGAATCTCATCTTGAAACTGGAGCATAATAAAGGACCTAGATTTCGCCCATAGTCACAATTGACTCTAAAATTTCAGTTTACTAGCTTCCACAGAGCTTTCAGAACTGTTTATCCCGGTCGAGTCTTTCGACCTTTCATTTCTGAACCTAAATATGCTTTGGGACACGTGACGTATTTATTAAAAATATACAAATTAAAGTATACATACCCGACGCGGTATTGTAGCAAAAAAATCAGTTCCGGGGAATTTTTAACCACGAGATTTTAAGAAAAAAGAAAAAAATTTTGTTTAAATGGGATCATTATATATTTTTATCTATAATAAGATATAATTATAATAAGTTGGACAATAAATTTAATAATACAAATTATAATAAATTTAACAATAATTTTAATAATACATTCTTAAATTTTCTGGATGCTGCTATAATAATTTTCATTTAAATTTCTTCCATGTACAGGTATATCGAGTTATCTGTCAGCTTGAATTTTGGAATAAATTGAGCGGAGAGGATTATCGCATCGATAATTAATTCAGCGGTAAAAAGGTTAACAGGAGAAAGAGTTACCGTACGGCATTGTCATCGCGGCGCAATTACTCAGGCACAAGACAAGCAGAAATGTGAAATTCATGTCTTTCGTATTTCAACAGTGGTGGATTTTTCGTCATAGGTTACAGGTTACCGGTCATAGGTCAGACCGAACGCATTTGAACTTTACAATGGGCTGGAATTAATTACGTATACAGTGTGTTCCATTTAAGTTGAGGTTGTACAAAATCTAGAAGACATGTGATTTAAAAAAAAAAAGAAAACTATCTCAACTTAAATGGGACACCCTGTATATTAATTTATTTTAATTTTAGACGCGTTTATTTACGAGAATAGAAATTTTGAAGTGATATATTGGATACAAAGCGAAGAATATTGTAGATGAAGTGGAATTTAAGATTTGAAGTTATTTAAGATGGTCGAAATGTTGAAGTTGAAGTAGTTGTGTAAAAAGAAGCGTTGAAACTAGAGTTACATAGAAAAGTAGAAATGTAAACATTGGAATTATTTGTAAAATTAGAAATTTTCAACTTGAAGTTGCGTATAAAAATTTGACTGCTAAAATTGAAATTATTTATGACGATATAAATGTTAATGTTGAAGTTAATGTTGAAGTTATTTGCGAAAGTGAGCTAGTAAAGTTGAAGATACTTGATAACGTAGAAATATTGAAATGGTAAATAGACATGCATCTCTCTGATTTTTTTCCATTTTACATATTGTCCACCACGTTTTCCAATTTAGCTTTGTAAATTTCAATTACCTCGAGCGACCGAGGTAAAGTGAAAAAGTAGTAAAAGGTTTTATGCAGCAAGTTCTTTGTGAACTCCCAAAGATGACAAGGCTTTGTATATATCAACTTTAAAGTATAAGAAGAACAAAAAGGAATATATGGACCTGTGGATCTATATTTTTTCATAAAATCTTGTTCGTTAATAAAACTATAACTTTTGTTTAAATTACAAAATTATTATACACATCACGTGTCTAATTTAATAAGTTTAAATTTAAAGAAGATTCTATCTTATGAGGAATGTTTTCAATATATTTAAATGCTTCAACCTTCTTTGTTTCGATGTGTTTCAATAATTTAATATTTTCAAGTATCACAATCGTTAGTATCACGGCAATCAAGGAGATAGGAAAAGTTAAATTACGGTATAAAAATTTCTTTCCCAAACTACTCTAACTTTAAAGGATTCGTTTAATGCAACTTTCGTTCTCCCGCAGTCTTTAATTAAAGTATTTTCCCTTCAAAAGATTACTGTTTTGAAAAATTTATGCAATAAAGAGTTCCTTGGAGCGAGGAGTCAAATTTCTGTAAAATAAAATCTCCTTTGGGAATTAATTCCAAAGAAATGAACATAAGGCCTGTCGATCAATGCTTGTCATGAAAGGCATCATTGCAAGAACTATATTTTTGGCATTAGTATATATCGGTGGCATCTAGTTCTATTTGAAATTATTTTGAAAATATGTTATATTTCATATTGTTTTGTATATACACATTCCATTTTATGTTACCTTGAATATAACAAATATTTTTCAAGGTTTAATATCAAAGAAAAATGATTAAACAGAAGAATGATGTTGGTAAATAAACAGATAATTAATTAAGTGTAATAAACGGTCGGTGATTATAATAATTGAAAGGCGACGGCGAAGGGTAGAAACCACAACTCTAGTTGGGGGTGGGTCAACCCCTCGGAATTAATATGGGGCTAATGAAATGGCAAACAAGGGCGTGGCGGAGATGCTTCATGCTTCCACCTCATCGTCAGTTTGGGGAATCGTGATTTCGTTCATTACTTTATGGATCCATTTAGTGATCAACCGTGGAGCTAGGGTCGTAAAGCAATATTTGGGGAATCCTAATTTGGGAATGAGTAAGTAGGGTTGGACTTCGAGAAGTTACATATTCCAGTAATTAGTGGTAACGGAAGATATTTGAGTAAACGTGTTAATGATAATGGGAGATGTTTAGGAGATGCATTAATTAAGTACACTGTTTGAATTTTTTTTTTTAATGATGGTGTTAAAGTATTTGGTTGATGTGTTTATTTATATGTTCAATATTAATTTAGATGAAAATAAAATTGATTGAGTTAATTGGTTCAAGGTTAATAACACCACTTTACAAAATACGAAAAAAAAATGTAGATTCAATGCCACGATGTTTTTCTTATGTATTTTGGCCTGCTAAACTCGAGAATCGCAATGAAATATTCGCTTCATTCTATTGTTTATTAACTTTTTGCGTGTAAATAATGAACCTTGGTACTCGTGGAAGATAGTATGGATCATTAGCAACATTAAAGAACCGGTGTTGGTAGGATTTCTATTGGAATTAAATAGTTATAAGCGTTTTTCGGCGATTGGTAGGTGCAACATTTGAATCGGTGCTCTCTATCCCTCTCGCACGGTATATCTTTCTCTTTCGCACACTTTCAAGCGTAGACCTCCACTAGC